CGCCCCCGGAGGAGACCGGGGAGAGACGGACATGGACGTGTTGGGGGAGGACCTTGGGCTCGAGCACGGCGGCAAAGAGATGGAAGCAGAGGAAATTGAGGTCGGCGAGAGCACGGAGGACGAGCCGGACTTATCCGGCTGGATGCACGCCACGGGGACGAACTGTATCCGGCACTCACCCCCACAACGACGGAGCACCCAGTACCCACACCTGAAGGAGGCGAGGGGGCAAGGGGGGGGGCGTCGAGGGGGGGATGGATGTCAGGGGTTCAGGAGCAGAGGCACAGGAAAGGGAGGAAATAGAGAGCGAGGGGGAGGAGTCCGAAGGAAATGTTAGCGATGACAGCGGTCCGAGGTCTCTGAGTCTTTCCAGCGAATCGGAAGATTCACAGAAAGGGGCTCCCTTGGTCAGAGCAAGGGGGTTGCCGAGGGGGACACCCCAGGAAGAAGGGGCCAGAGGGGACTCAGAGAGCAGCAGTTGGAAATCAGGACCAGCGTCCACACCAGAGTGCAGTAGGGGGGAGGAGTCCCAGGCATCGGGATCAGGCGGCGCACTGCCAGTGGGAGGACATGAGTCAGGATTGGCCACGCCTCCATCGGGGAGCGAGGAAACGGTCGAGAGGAAGGTTGAAGGCTGGGCGCGCGCGCCAAGTTCAAATGTACAGGAGGGCGGCGCAGTTGGCAGCCCGGATAGGGAGCCAGGTCCCAAAGCCCGCCGAAAAGAGGGGGAGGAGTCAGGAGGGTCAGCGTCAGAAGAATCCAGGAAGGAAGGGACCCCGGGGGGTAGCAGGACCCAGAGGAGAAAGGAGAGACGTAAGAGGTGGAGTAAGGCTAGAATCTTAAACTGGTGTACAGGGGCGGAGACTCAGATGGAGCTTCGCCGATCTAACCCCTAGACGTAGAGCTGGGGCGCTCCGGCTTGAAAATGGAAACTGTACTTCAATAAAGACTTTTGCACATTACTGCCGGCTAGCGTTGGTCCTCTGTGAGCTGGGACCTGGAGCCAGCTCTGACAGATATACATTTTTGTATTTTTATATTGTGAAACGTCCGATGATCTTTTGATGAAGGATGATATCAAAATTTAATTAATTAATAATAATAATAATAATAATTCCTGCTTGCCAGCCCCGCCCCCCATAAACACACAAATACATACACTCACATCAAATCCCTGTTTCTGCTCTCCCAGTTTTTCCCTTTCCCCTTATGATTGTCTGCAGTCTGCTTCAGTTTTCACAATCCTGAATAATTTTTATGCCATTGAGAAACTTGGCCATGTCGCTGCTTACTCCCGACCTCAGGTTGCTTAGGAATAAAGCGCACCAATACAGATCCTTGAGGGATCCCAGTGCATACTTCCTTCCATTGTGAGAATATGTATTTACTTTCACCTTCTCTTTAATGAATTAGCAGTCAAGAAGGGATCCTGTCCTTTTCTTCCATGGCCACTTAGCTATGTAAGAAGTCCTCTGTCACAGACTTTGTCAGAAGCTGTAAGTGTACTGCAGGGGTTCCCAAACTGGTTCATATGCCACCAGTGTTTCACTAGCTTCCTTCAGAGTGTCTGTAAAAATGCAATTAAAAATCATACAAAATCATACAGATGCTTGTTCACACTCTCCAAAAAATCCAAAGGCTGATAAGGCGGATCTTTCCTTTTGAGAAGCCATGCTGATTCTTAACAAGACTTGTTCTTCTATAAGTTGACTAGTTCCAACTTTAGTCATTATTTCCACCAATTTACTTGGGATATCTATTACACTCTCTGGTCTGAAATGTCCTTATTATTAAAAATCGGTATTTGGTTTCAATCCAAATATTTACAATTCAAATATTTTAATCGTCCAGTAAAGGAAGGCAAATATTGATAAGAATTTGCATATTGTTTGTTGGTAGATCGACAATTTGATATTACCGTACTTTTCCGTCTATAAGACGGGGTTTTTTACCTTAAAACAACGCTTAAAAATTGGGTTAGTTTTATACATGGGTAGTGCAGAGGGGGAACGGTGGAAATGATTTCTGTCTTGAGTAGTAGATTGTCACTGGTGTTATTGTGGGTGTTGGGCTGCTGCGACAATGTCCGCTTGTGATTGGGCGTTGCTGTGGCAATGTCCGCTTGCGATTGGTTGCTGCTGCGAGATTGTCCGCTGGTGATTGGTCGCTGCTACAACTATGGCTGCTGGTGATTGGGCTCTGCTGCGACAATTGGGTGTGTAATTGGTGACTGCTGGTGTCGATCGGAAATCCGATAGGAGGCTTCTGTGTTGCGTTCAATCACAAGCGTTTGGAATGTAGGTGAGGTTTTTTGGCATTCCTCCCATTCTGGACTATCTCCCCCCATTTTCTTAATATTGAGTCCTGAAAATTAGGGGGCGTCTTATCCATGGGGGTGTCTTATAGACGGAAAAGTACAGTAAACTATTTAAGTATTCTTGAAAACAGTACAGTGGTGCCCCGCAAGACGAATGCCTCGCAAGACGGAAAACCCGCTAGACGAAAGGGTTTTCCGTTTTTTAGTTGCTTCGCAGGACGAATTTCCCTATGGGCTTGCTTCGCAAGACGAAAATGTCTTGCGAGTCTTGAGATTTTTTTTCCGCTTCCCCCCCCTTTTTCTAAGCCGCTAAGCCGCTAATAGCCTTTTAGCAGCTAAGCCGATAAGCCGATAAGCCTTTAATAGCCGCTAAACCGCTAATAGCGCTAAGCCGCTAAGCCGTTAATAGGGTTGCTTCGCAAGACGAAAAAACCGCTAGACGAAGACACTCGCGGAACAGATTAATTTCGTCTTGCGAGGCACCACTGTATATGTTTACTGTTATGTACTGAGGTTCTCACCCTGGGCCAGCAGGGGGAAACTGTAGATAGTTATGCAAATGAAGGATCGAAAGTGACGTTCAGTGATTGGATAGTTTGTATGCAAATGAAGGATCGAAGGTGACATTCAGTGATTGGATAGTTTTAGAAAGTTGCTACAGTTACGCTGTTCTGGAGCTCTATATAAGCAGGCTGACTGAGCTCTTCAGTTCAGTTCTGTTTCAGCTTACAAATAAAGAGCTGCTTTGGAAGAATCGCTGTGTCGTCTGATATGTTCACCCACAACTTAACATTTACAGTGAAGACCAGTGTTCTATGGACCTTCTCGACTGAACTGCAGCAGCAATACAAACAATGTTGTGGTTCTGTCTTTGAATTAATTGACGCACCTTTCTTCTGTCATGGAAACCTGGGTTCCCAGGTGGCCATTCATCCAGGTCCAGACCTACTTAGGTTCAGAAAGCTCATGGCTTCATGTGCAAACACCATTCTGAAGACCTAACCTTATGATTAGGCTGGTATAGATTTGCACTGAAAAAGTAGGATGGAATTAATTCATATTTTTACAGCTCTACATTCCTCTGGTATTGAGCACAAACAGAAGTGTTTCTCCTTTGGGTTCTGATCCTGAATAGGTGCCTTCAAATGCATACCTACTAAATATTTTGGAAAGTCAATTTGTTCTGTATAGGTTCAGTCACCTCTCAAGTTATCATCACCAAACTCAGCATGAGGGTTCCCAAGGTGCTTGTCAACATTTAAACATCAGGCTCCATTTTGAATCAAGATGGTGGAACAAAATGTGACTTTGGTGTGATTTCACCCTTTTGGGGGCACAACAGGTCTAAACTACACCAATTTGGACAGCTCTGGGCATCCTGCTCAGTTTGGCAGGATGGTTCTAACCTGCACTGATTTGGATATCTCTCAAGATATTGTCACAAAACCTCGCTTGAGTGTTCCCAAGGTAGAGGTCTTTGCTACATTTGGATGCTAGGCGCCATTCTGAATCAAGATGGTGGGCGAAATTAAATTAATTAAACCTTAGTTCCCTCCCCTACAGAAAAAGAATTGATTCAGGACTGAGTCAGTTGTTCCCTGGATCGGATCAGAGCCCTGGGTTTGGTGTTTATATGTGTGTGCACACACAGCGCCCAATCTATTTAAAAATCACAAACATTTTTCAGTTTCTTCAAATTCCTGAACAGCCCCAGCTAATCTCTGCTAGTATATGGACATTTCAAGTGACATACCCATATTTAAAATAGAAGTGAGAAAGCTTCTTTTTCATTATGAAAAAGATTGTTTGCTTCTGATTTTCCTCTTGCTTTTGTTGTATACGACTATTTTATTTTGGTGATAAAATCCTACAGGTTACAGGACCATTTGTTTTCCTTGTGCTTTGAGTTCTCAGTGTGACACATGTCTACCATTCTAGAGGACTCCACAATTATGTTGCAGCTTTTGACACAGCTGGCTGGAGTAATTAGATCAGTGTTTTTCAACCACTGTTCCGCGGCACACTAGTGTGCCATGAGATGTTGCCTGGTATGCCGTGGGGAAAATTGAAAAATTCGAAAGATTTTTTTAAAAAATATGTCAAATTTTCGCCCACTAGGCAGGCGCCGGACTGTGTCCACCCTATTTTCCATCCGTCCTGGGTGGGGATCAGATTGGATGGGAGCGGATGAGAGCGGACAGGCGGTCCGCTCTCATCCGATTCCCCATAGAGAGCAGCGGGGCTCTGACATCTCCCTCTCCGCACAAAGTGCAGAGACGGAGCTGTCATCCGCCGGCTCAGCGGGGATCAGCGGATCGATCCCCGCTGAGCAGAGAACGGTCTGCAACGTTTTTGTTTGCCATTAAAGAAAAAAATATTAAACCATGCTTGAATGTCGGAACTGGTTACTAAAATTTTTGAATCCCACCACTGATGTTAAGGAATATAAATAGCTCCGGTGTCACTGTTACATGGACAGGAGGAGACATCGCAGTAGATCGCCGATGAGCAGAAGAGCGCCAATGGATCTGGATTTGGAGGAAACATGAGCAGAAGAGCAGAAGAGCGCTGACTGATGGATCTGGATGGAGACATGCGCAGAAGAGTGCTGAGTGTGACGGACAGCGGCTGTCTGGAGGAGACAAGCGCAGTAAGCACTGAGTGACAGTGAGATACTGCAGTGATGGACAAGTTTTTGAAAAGGAAAGAACTGGACTCTGAACAAAATTTGGAGCCAGATGAGAGCCCAAGTATGAGTGGGGATCAAAAGAAAGCAAAGATGGTTAGCTCAAGCAAATTCTCTGGCACAAGGCAATATAGCGAAAGCTATATTTCATTTGGATTTACTTTCACCGGAGATGCAAACAAACCAACTCCACTGTGCGTGGTGTGTGGTGAAAAGATAGCTAACAGTGCTATGGTCCCAAGCAAACTTAAACACCATCTCCAAACGAAACACCCTTCGCTTCAAAACAAGAATGCGGACTATTTTGTTCGCCTGCGTGAAAACACGGAGAAACAGGCAACTTTCATGAGAAAAACCACAAAGGTAAATGAAAGAGCTCTTAAAGCTAGCTATCAAGTTGCTGAACTTATAGCCAAGTCAAAAAAGTCGCACACTGTGGCAGAGACATTAATACTTCCCGCCTGCAAAGCTATTGTAGAGGAGATGCTCAGACCTGAAGCAGCTAAGGAAATAGCCAAAGTCCCTCTCTCAGACAACACAATTTCCAGACGTATTAATGACATGTCTGCAGACATCGAAAGTGTGGTTTTGGAAAAGATCCGTATCAGTGAGAAATTTGCATTGCAACTTGATGAGTCTACTGATATCAGTGGACATGCTCAACTCTTGGCCAATGTGCGTTTTGTTGATGGTGATGCAATTAGAGAAAACTTCTTTTTTTGCAAGGCATTGCCAGAAAAAACAACAGGAAAAGAAATTTTTTGGGTCACATCAGAATACCTTGAACAAGGAGGACTTAAGTGGGAAAACTGCACAAGTGTCTGCACCGATGGAGCTGCAGCCATGGTCGGGCTCACCAAAGGCTTTGTAAGCAGAGTGAAGGAAAGAAATCCAGATGTGATTGTTACGCACTGTTTTTTACACAGTGAGGCCCTCGTAGCCAAGACTTTACCAGCAGACCTAGTTCATGTGTTGGATGATGTTGTGCGCATGGTAAACTTTGTAAAGTCACGACCCATGAAAAGTCGCATATTTGCAGCTTTGTGTGAGGAGATGGGAGCAAAGCTTAAATCCTTGCTGTTTCATACGGAGGTCCGGTGGTTGTCGCGTGGCAAGGTCTTGGTTCGTGTGTATGAGCTGCGGGAGGAACTTAAAGTGTTTCTGACAAATGAGAGGTCAGATTACGCAAAGCTGCTTGCAAGTGATGAGTGGTGTGCAAGGCTGGCATACCTGGCAGATATATTTCATCATCTGAATGAACTGAACACACAAATGCAAGGCTGAAATGAAAACCTGCTTACAAGTACAGATAAAATAAATGGATTCCGTTCAAAGGTGCAACTCTGGCATCAACATGTGGAAAGTGGCAATCTTGAAATGTTCACACTCACCAAGCAATGGCAAGGTGTTCACACTGCTGCACTGTGTGAGATAATAGTTAAACATTTAAAAACTCTCGAGGAGAAGTTGTCATTTTATTTCTCTTCAGTCTCCACTGAATGACTTGACTGGATTAGGGACCCTTATAGCTCAGCATCAGTTGGTGGAAAGGACATGACTTTACAGGAGCAGGAGGAACTAACTGAACTGAGACAAAATCGTGGTTTCAAGCTAAGATTTGCTGATCTACCTTTGGACAGTTTTTGGTTGGATACTGCCAAGGAGTTCCCCCTTCTGGCAAACAAAGCTATTTTGACATTGCTCCCATTTCCCACTACATATCTGTGTGAGATGAGCTTTTCAAGCATGATTGCTATAAAAACTAAATACAGAGAGAGACTGAGAGCTGTTGACGAAGAGCTACGTGTGTGTCTTTCTTCGATTCCAGCCAGAATATCAGCTTTGTGTTCAGCCAAACAGGCCCAGGCTGCGCACTGAATAAAGTATTTTATAATTTTTCATATTTCTGTTTACTTACTATTTCATAATAAAGTAATTATAAAATACTTTCTTTGTGTTTATTTGATTCCTATTCAAGAGAATTACTTTATATATAGTCAATATAGGCACAGAGTTAATTTTTTCAACATTTTCTAATGGTGGTGTGCCTCGTGATTTTTTTCCATGAAACAAGTGTGCCTTTGCCCAAAAAAGGTTGAAAAACACTGAATTAGATCATCCTCATCAGCAAAAGGGAGTGTCATGTACCTGATGTCAACAGGTGATGAGAGGAGGCAGCTTATGACTTTCATTCAATCCTGCCCCACAAACCCTTGCTTGCTGAAGTCCTATGCGCAGCTCTGAAAAAATCCAAAATGGGGAGAGGAAGAGAGGAAGGAAGGAAGGAAAGTAGGTAGGTTGCAGTGGAAAACATGTTATCTAATTTCCAATACATCTGCTGCACACAAACCAATTTTCAAGTCAGTGAAAACACAGCATTCAGCATAACTTGTCTAAAATGCTTTTAAACATATAAAAAATGTGGTTTTAAAACATGTAAAATTATATTTTATTTCCCCTTGGGTTTGTTTGCCTGGGGGATTATAACTGTTTGCTATTAAAGACAAATCCCATAATCCAAAAATAAAACCACATGCTACTGTCTTACAGTGAACTGATTTGACCCACTCATGGCAAACTGCTTTTTAGAAATAGAGAAAACAAACTAAATCCCCAGGCATACAGAAAAGCCATTTTATTCTCTTCAGCAACAAGTGTGTTTCCCTCCTGAAAGAGAGCTATTCTTGAAGGTGCTTTTTCCACAAATGCATCCAAAATAATTTAAAACGAAGCTATAGATTACATGCTCCTTCTCCTGATCCCATTTGTCAGCAATCAATTTGGCCACTTCATTAAGAAGACTTGTCTCATTATATTAGGTACAGCATAAGGAAACAGAAAAAACACAATTTCTGTGTCACAACAAAAGGCTTCCTTTATGGAACCAGTGAACTACATAGCATCTTTTGCAGATCACTTGCTCCCCCTACTGTCATGAGAGAAGTGCAATTCCATTATGTTTATTGTTACTTCTTACTTCTTCTCTCAACTTGCAATAAAAGTGCACCCCATAAACTCAAGGTCTTGCCCACATGACCTGTAAGGATCAATGTTTCCACTGTTGGTTTTGAAAATGGCAAAATATTCTGACTGAATAATTTTGGGTCTTATATACAACAGATATTCATCTCAGCCAAATCAGAAAGTACAAACAGAATTCACTGAAATAAATTCAGATATTGCAAAGAATGTCGAGAGTTCTGTGAGGTAATCTCCACCCGACTTGTATCCATGTTCCACTGAGCCCTCAGCCATTTCAGAACCATAACAATAATATGGGTTGCAATCTAGATGAAACTAGATTACAAATTGTGTATCTTTATTTTCTTTCTTCTCACATACATTGTCAGCCCACATAGAGAAGCAGATGTTCTGATGGACTGTAAAAATGTGGTGCGACAGATCCTATGGAAGTGGAAGGAGCCCCCCAAGCCATCACAAGCCCAGGTTTAAGAGGTTTGATGGGGTTAAGAATTATAATACAAACCTGGCAACCCTTTTCCTTTCTCCAGCCCCTCAGAATAACTGGAACAGTTTTCTCCTCTTCCTCTTCCAGCTGTATTTATTTGTGGAGGTTATTTTGGAGTTTCTATGTTGACACCCCACCTCTTCACTTGGGGATCTCAAATGATGCCACAGTCCAATTATTGTTCTTTATATAGATTTTGATTTGCCTGCTCTTCATAGGACATGGCAAACAATATCCATTCTGTGTATTGGGAAGGTCTGGTTCTAGTCTAAGTGTGCATTCATACATGGTATTTATTGTGTTTTCCTAACTATAACGCTGGTGCTTCTGTCCTGGTTTTCTAATGTTGCTTTTGTGCTGCATTACTTTGCCATTAAGCTTACTGGGTAACCTTGGGCTGGTCACGGCCTCCAAGCCTTATCTACTTCACAGGCTTATTGTGGGGATTAAATGAAGAGCAGGAGAACCTTGAGCTCCTTGGAGACAAAGGTGGGATATAAATGCCATAAAAAAAGGATTGCCATACTTTCTCTAGAATAGGTTTACTGAAGGGTCGATGCCCTAAGAATCCCAATCTGCAGCCTGCCTTTAAAGATGAAGAACCTTTCAAGTGTTTGTCCAAACACTGCAAGAGTCATGTTGTGGAAAAATTAGCATATACAGTGGTACCTCTGGTTCTGAACGTAATTCGTTCCGGAGGTCCGTTCTTAACCTGAAACCATTCTTAACCTGAGGTACCACTTTAGCTAACTGGGCCTCCCGCTGCCACCACTGCAAGGTTTCTGTTCTCATCCTGAGGTAAAGTTCTTAACCTGAGGTACTACTTTCGTGTTAGTGGAGTCTGTAACCCGAAGTGTTTGTAACCCGAAGTACCACTGTATTCATTTCCAGTAAAGAAACTTGAGCATGGTACCCATTGGGGCAGGGCTTGGGATAGCTTCATTAACTACAAACCCCCAAATTTGGGATTCCTTCCAAACCATTGCCAATTACACAGTTTGGAGGGGGGCACTGCAAAACACCCCCATCGTTCAGCCCAGACACTGAGGTCCCGCTCCGAGGGCCTTCTGGTGGTTCCCTCACTGCAAGAAGTGAGGTTACAGGGAAACCCAGCCAGATGGGCGGGGTATAAATAATAAATTATTATTATTACATTATTATATAACCAGGCAGAGGGCCTTCTCGGTAGTGGTGCCTGCCCTGTGGAACGCCCTCCCACCAGATGTCAAGGAAATAAACAACTATCTGACTTTTAGAAGGCATCTGAAGGCAGTTTTTTTATGTTTGATGTTGTATCGCTTTTTTATTATTACTAATATTCTGCTGGGAGCCACCCAGTGTGGCTGGGGAAATCCAGCCAGATGGGTGGAGTATAAATATATTATTATTATTATTATTATTATTAACATAAAGTTTTCACTGCAAAACTATTGCAAAACTTTGGCACCAGTTTGGAGGGCATCCCAAATTTTGGGGTTCATAATTAATGAAGCTGCTTGAGAACAGCAGTGGCTACCTGTTCTAGCTTCTACTTGCTCGGGGTTGCCCCACTCATGGAAAACAGCTGAGCCAGACACACATTAAGGAAGAGCAAACTGTACTGGAAGAAACTAAAGGGAACCATGTTGTAAATGATTTGCCATTAGCCTTTTACAAGCTTTCATTTTGTGTTTGCAATTAATTCATTAGCTGTAAAAGAACAGCAGTGAAACATGTTAAAGCCCATATTGTAAAAAAAATCCTTGTAAAAGCAAAGATGCCAAACTATTTTTAGCATTTTAATGGCTGAAGATAATTTTTTGTACAAAGGTCTTGCATGGCCATTAGAAAGGCATCTGCACTGACAGCTTGAAGAATCATTCACACAATTAAAAAAAAAAGAAGAGTTCATCAAGATTCAAAAAAGTACGCTTCTGTTAAAGTGAATAAAAATTTTAAAAAGCAACAATAAGGAACTAGAAAAACATTTCATATGGAGAAATGCATCAAACAGAGTGTTTTCATAGCTCATTTTTATTCTATTTGCAGGTTTCATCTGTAAGCCCCAAATCCACATAAACAAACACTTAATTCTCATGGGAAACCGCACTAAAATCAGTGGAAAAAAGTATATTATTTTAGTTGCACTGGGGGCCTTGTTTTATGTCATGTTATATATGTTGATGAACAGTCTCCTATAGGGGCTGAAATGCAGTTTGATCTGTTTGTACAACCAGGAACTTCCTTTAGGTACAAAATGATGCATCAGTGATACTGCCAGCTAAAATGTGCTGACTGTTGCTATGGAGGCAAGAATGAGCAAATTAATAATAAAAAATGTGTGCCTTACCATAAAATCTTGCAAATCTCACACTTCAAACCCCATGATAAAAGAAGTCAGTCTCAAAACTCTTAACCGGTTTCACTGGTAAAAAAAGAAAAACTGTTATTCATGCTTCAAAGAAACAGACTGCCATCCTAATCCTAAGCATTTGCATGATAATTATTTGCCTGCAATGTCAGTGCAACGTCTCTACAATATCATCATAGCATCATAGCTTGTTACTTGCATTGCAAAGGCACAGCAGTTAGTATGCCTCAGCCTAAGCACTTACCTGCTAACACAGCAAGTCTCAAAATTGGGCTGCAAATTATTCCAAACACACAAACTCCTTATGCTATACAGACATCCTGTACTATTTGTGGACATACAGATCATTTGGAAGTGTAAATAATAATTTAAAAAACCTACATGACTATGGGGAGGGGTTTTCAAACACAACTAGAGAGGGACTACTTTCCATTAAAATTTAATATAAGTCAAGCACCTTTATGC